TTAGCTTTCGCCTCTGAAAGGGGAGGAGGAACCACTGAAGAGCTCTGGAATGTAGTCTGGTCCAGGGTACGATGGCAATGCAAGAGATCATCTTGCCTAAGAGCTGGGAGAAGGTAAGGAGGGGAACTGCCCTGGCACGCCGTACCTGGTGGATAAGGGCCCTGAGACTGGCTATGCGATCTGGCGATAGGTAGACCATGCAGTGTGTTGTATCTATCACTGCTCCCAGATGAAGGAGCCGTGTGGATGGGATCAGCTGGCTCTTGAGGAAATTAACTGAAAACCTGTGGTTCTGGAGCACCTCTATGGTATGGGCCACCTCCGACCGTGCAGCCTGGACAGAATGAATGAGGATGTCATCCAGGTAACACTGGATCCGAATGGAATCCAGTCTGAAGTGAGCTGCCAGAACCGCCAAGATCTTTGTGAATACCCTCGGGGTGGATGAAAGGCCAAACGGCAGCGCTCTGTATTGATAGTGATAAGATCTGTAGCAGAATCTGAGAAAGCTATGATGTGGTGGAAATATTGGAATATGTAGGTACGTCTCTGTGAGGTCGATGGACGTCAGGAGGTCGTTCCTTCGTATGCTGGCCAAAATGGATTGCAGGGTTTGCATCTTGATTTTTTTGTGTATCAGGTAATAATTTAACCGTTTTAGATCCAGAATGGCCCTCCATCCTCCCGAGATCTTTGTGACTATAAAGAGGATTGAGTGCCCCCTCTGATCGGGAGGGACTGGTTCCACCGCATTTATTTCGATGAGATGGGAAATGGCCTCCTTCATGAAAACCCATTTTGACGGGTTTGAAGGAGTTGGACACTGAATGAACCAGTTTGCTGGTTTTGAGAGAAACTCCAAGGTCAGGCCGTTGGTGACGGTGGACAAGACCCAGCCATCGGTGGTAGTGTGCCCCCAGTTCTGAGAGAACAGGGAGAGCTGGCCGCCTATGGGGGGGTCCTTCCCTGGAGTCACTTATTCCTCCGATAGGGATGGCCCCCTGTGCCCCGAAAGGGCTGCTTAGCCTGCGGTTGTTGCCTGGGCTTGGGCACAAAGCGGTCCGTTTGATGGTCCAATCTGGGAGGAAAAGAGCATGTGGGCTGTGGCCAGTCAGAACCCTGGGTGTTGCCTTGGAACCCCTGTCTGCGATAGAAGGGAGCAAGCTTTCTGTCCAATCATCTGGCCTGGTGAGCAAGAACCTTTTTCTTGTCCTTGTTCTCTATCAAGTAGGGCTCCAGGGCTTCCCCAAATAATTTTCCACCAGAATAAGGGGCGGTGGCCAAGTGTCCTTTGGATTTTAAATCTGCCCGCCTTGCTTCAGCCAAAGCAGCCGCCTGGTAGAAATGTTGGCTGCGATCGCCCTGGCTGAAAATCTGGTGGCGTGCAACGTGGCATCGGCCATGTATTCAACCGCCGCTAGTAACTTACCCAATGTTTGATGGGCGCGTACCTGATTCTGTGGGATCATGTCCTGAAGCTCCCGGAGCCAAGTGATAGAGGACCGTGAGAAGAAAGAGGCTGACATGGAAGCCTTTACTGCCCATCTTGATGCTTGATGTGCCCTTCATAGAGAGTACTCAGATTTTCTATCCTCCGGTCTTAATGCCTCCACCATATCTCCAGCAATGGTGGAGTTTGAAAAGATGGGAGTGAGGGATGTGTCCACGGTTAGTTAAGGATGGCGCCACGCTAAATAGTTTTTTGTCAGAGGACCCTGGGACAGGAGAGGCCCCAAGATTGGCCCATTGTTTTCTTACTGTTTTGGCAAAAATGGAGGGCAAGGTATATGCCTTTGAGTCACCCTGGGCTCATCAAACAGAGGATTTGATGACTGACTGGTGGAAGGGGTAGGTTGAGGATCTAGTTCTGGGGCAATCTGAGATGTAGCCGTGGCTTTAGCTAGAATGGTCTTGAATAGAGTGGGATCAAAGAGGCCTACAAAGGGGGAGGGCTCCTGAGGAGCATCCTCATCGTCTGATACGGCTGTCCCCTGTGATTCGTCAACTTCCGAATAAGAATCCCCACCCTGTGAGGATTGATCGGAAGCAATGGAATAGGCATAATCAGGGGTCTCGGACCGGTGTTGGGAAGATGTCGGAGGTTGGGATCTCTGTAGAGAGGAAAGACTCTCTAATACCTGCATGAGCATGGATTGTAGATGTTCCGGCCCAAGCGCCTGTGAAGACTCAGGTCAGAGACCAGCGGCCGTGGGAGTGAATGTGGCTGATGGAATTGATTGAGAGGCAAGTGGGCCCCCCCCAGCTTGGACTTGGGTTAGGTGTCACAGGACTGATAGGTCTAGATTGAGACCCAACCTCTGGAGACAAGGGTCTGTGAACCTGTGCAATTGTGGTTACCTGAGGACTGAAAGGAGAGGCCTCAGACGTTCCGGATGTAGCTGGTACATGTTCTGATGAAGCTGCCTTTTGAGCCTTGGAAATCTGCCTCTCCAAGGCCTGGTGCCTCCTTGCGGCTTCCTTCTCCACCGCCTTGGATGGAGCTTTGGTAGATAAGGCCTTTGCTTTTGCCTTCCATTTGCCGGCTGCCTCCAATTTTGAAGATTTATGTCTCCTCTTGCTTGGAGGACTGATGAGTGCCAGAACCAGCTGAGGCTGCTTGTCTTCAGCCATCTCATTGGGGACCCTTCAGCGCAAGACTGAGAATGGATCACAAGAAAGATAGGAACTGATGTCCCAAAAGTGAAAAACTGTAAGGACTGGGAAGACCAGTATGGGCCCTTGGCACGGTAGTTAGAACCTGAGACCCTTCAGCACAAGTTTGAGAATGGGTCTGGACAAGGCTGGGAAAAGTGGTCCAATGTGAAACACTGGAAAGACTGGAGAAACCAGTATGGGCTCCTTGCAAAGGAGCTAGGCCTGAGACCCTTCAGCACAAATCTGAAAATGGGTCTGGAAACAGGCTAGGAGCTGAGGCCCAGTGTGTGACTGTAGAGACTGGTAAGACCAGTATGTGAGCTCCTTGTAAGGACTATGAAAACCAATATACTGGTAGATAGGCAAAGAATAGGGAACAGAAATGAAAGGAGTAAGCTCCCAATGAAAAACAATCCAATTTTACTGTCACAATATATTGCCAGAGGCAATGTCAGCGGATGTGGCTGAGGTGGAATCAGATGTGCTTGTGACTATTTTTACAAACTCAGCTCTCCTGAAAAATGGCACCCTCAGCTGCGTGGTGAGGCCAGAAGTAATCAGAATCTTCCGTCAACTAAGTGATTAATGCTAAATTGTGAAGCTCCCTTCACTTGTTCACTAATTTAAAGTAGAGAAATTTGTGAAAACAGGGAAAAAGCACCCAAACTGATGATCGCCAGCCACGTATAGCCTAAGCGCAGTCTGTAAAAAAATGGCGGCCGCCCATCACGTGCACACTCCCAAATGTCCGGAAAACACAGGCCTCAACAAGAAAATGGCAGACGCCAGCCACGTGACACTCTGCCGCTAGCCGCTCCACAATGCAGGAGGACCGGACCTAACCAAAATGGCGGCCGCCAGCCATGTGGCGATCCGCCGGTATCCATGATCCTCCGATGGAAAAAACCCCAACGATCAGCTGTCATTCGGGCTGTCTGCGGAGGCCCACCGACCAGCTGAGGCGAACAGAAAGCTCCGCGGCTTCTGAAAAGACTCCCAAGAGAAACAAAAGCCTCGTGCTGAGGCTTCAGCAAACGGGGAAAAAAAGGCAATAGGGAGGAGGAGTAGTGGTGGAGTGGAGACGACAGCAAGAAGCACAAGGATTCAGCAAACGTAAAGGTAAACTAAAGAGGAAAGGAACAATAATCCACGGATGGGGAAAAGGGAAAATTTACCTGAGTCTGGAGATATGAACCAACGCGTCTTGTCTGGGTAAAGACTAAGTCGGAACTGGGTAAACGTGACCCAGCAAGAGGCATGGCTATCTCACAGACTTAGTCTAATTGGGTAGAAGGGACTTCAGGAAACCCAATCCGTGGATTATCCATCCTCATGCTGGAGAATGATCATACTCAAGTTGGTCCACAAAACTATCTTCAAGCATTCACATAACGTGTTGGATTTCAATGAGAATTTGTTTACATGACACCCTCACCTAAATCTTTGAGATTGGGGTGGGGGGGGGTAGGGGGCTTTGCTCATGCAAATCTGCACAAATATTGATATGTTTAACCTGTGAATTGCACAAGTTTTGATCAGTACTAATTCCCATTGATGATCCAGACCACATACAGTATAGCTAGTCCTTGATTTATGTCCACAGCTGAGCCAAAAATTTCAATTGCTAAGCAAGACAGCTGTTGAGTTTTGTCCCATTTTGTGACCTTTCTTGTCACAGCTGTTAAATGAAACACTGCAGTTGTCAAATTAGAAACACCGTTCTTAAGTGAATCTGGCTCCTCCATTGACTTTGCTTGTCAGAAGGTTGCAAAAGGGGACCACGTGACCCTGGGACACTGCCACCGTCATAAATACATGCCAGCTGGCAAGTATCTAAATTTTGATAAAATTTGATCGTGTGACCACGGGGATGCTGCAATGGTCTGAAAGTGTGAAAACGTTCGTAAGTCACTTTTTTTCAATGCCACTTAACTTTGAACAGTCACTAAACGAATGGCTGTAAGTTGAGGACTATTTGTACTGTGTGTTTTTCCCCCCCATGTGAACACATATTTTGCTTAAGTTTATTTATAATTTCAGTTGCTTTTTCACTACTTTGTACTGAACCCCTAAGTATCTGTAGCATCTCTGTTCATTTTCCCAACTTTCCTTTCTCCAGAGTTTTTAACATGAAGGAAAGAAGGAAGTGGCTGGCCATATATCTGAACCAGTTAAGCATGTAATTTATAGGAGGAGACCTGGTCATTCTCAGGGTACGTCCTACTGTGTGATTCTCTTAAGATTGGTGCAAAGTGCAAAGGCTGACTAAAGCCATAGTTTACTTCCTAAAGCTGCATATGCATTAGGGGAGGATGCAATGGCAGAATGCTTACAGGAATTTTTACCTATTCAGATAGACCCGTTTTTCTGTCAGCTGACCATTCCCGTAGTTTGGATCTTCATAGGGCTCATTCTGTACCACTTCCACACCTTCTCCACGATCACTCTGCTCGTGGCTATGTTTACTGATCATGTACAGCTGTCCAATTCTGTACTGCAATGCAAAAAGAAGGAAAAAGTGTATTTAGGCGATGGATTTATTTATTTATTTATTTTTAGAAAATCCTTAAAGGAAACATTTTCATAGTGAGCAGCACATTTAAAAATAATTATAGGAACTATTAACAATGCTAAAAGCCGATTGTTTCAGGTGCGAAGAACCAGGAACACTCACTGAGTTCAAAGCACAGGGTCTAGGAGATGACCCAGTTGAGCCCGAGGGAGGGGTCAAGCACGTCATCGGTTTAGAGTCTCTTTGCTCCCACAAGAAATCTAAATCCAGCCCACCTTGAATTTCCTTGACTCTAACCTACTGCCAATTTGGCTTGAACGTTAATAGATCAGATTCTTGTAGAGAGCTAGCATGGAAAAACTTGTACTCGTTTGAACAACCTTGGTTCCTGGTTTCTTGCGTCTAACACAGAAGAGTTTATTATTGCTACTTATACACAAGAATCTGGTCAACTAATGGCCAAAGCTAAAATGGTTCAACAGAATTCATAGGGGTGGGGGGTTGGACTTGGGTCTCTTGTGGCTGTGCAATGATTCCAAACTAATGACACATTTAACCCTGCTTTCCAGTTCAGCGTGCTCATCTTCTACACCAGTGATTCTCAACCTTTCTAATGCCATGACCCCATAATACAGTTCCCCATGTTGTGGTGACCCCCAAATGGGTGTGGCCACCAATAAGAGGGAATAGGACAGCTAGGGAAAAGGGAAAAAAATGGCGGACAGCATGGTTTGGTGACCCCCATGAAATGGTCATTTGACCCCAAATGGGGTCCCGACCCACAGGTTGAGAACCACTGTTCTACACTGTGGTTATAATAATATGGTATGTTTGGAAATCCCTTTATACAGAGCCCCCTTAGAAAGCTTTGATACCTATCTAGACAAAATTACAGTGTGATGTATCTTTCATGGTTCCGATAGATGAAACCAGTTAAAAGAACTTCAAGGCAAGATTTCTTCCTTAAAGAACATTTTATTTGGAAACAAAGTATCGGCACTTACATAGTTGAACCCAAGAATGAGTTCCCTCCTCCCAGATACAAAGTAACCAATTGCAATTCCCCCGGGGTTTTCTCTCCATCCCCTCAGCCCACCAAAAGCTTATCAGAATATATCCTTGAGTTCACACACTTCTACATTGTTATGGGTAGCTAGGGCTTTTTTTGTCATAGAATACACCGGAACTGAGTTCCAGCACCTTGAGTTCCAGAGTTGCCTTGAACAAAATCCTAGTCTTTTAGATACACTAAAAATTGAAGGGTTTTTTTTTCAACTACAAAGGTAAACCTTGTGGGATACACAAGGTGGGTTATATGACGTGTGTGAGTTCCGGCACCTTTTTTTTTTTTTTTTTTCAAAAAAAGCACTGTGGCTAACTAAACCGTCAGGCATCTATCCCATCCCCCCTTCTACATCTGAACTCTGAGAGAATAGAAAGGCACCTTAAAAGCAAAAGTAAAAAAGGCTGCTGGTTCTCAGTTGTCAGAGCTACGACATCCATTGTCACAGCGTTGACAGTATCTGTAAATTGTCCCACATGAAATGGTCCCAAGATTATAGGGGGGAGGGTGAGTAGCATTTCAACCTATTGCATATATACACACAGGCTTTGAACTCTAAGTGCAGCCAGCAAATGCTGCACGGATTGTATAAACAGCTCATTTGTCTGTTCAATTCAGTTTGTGGACGCATCGCATCTGATCTAGTTGAGACATACTAAAATCTCCAACAAGCTATTGTTTTTCTGGCAACATTATGGACATGTTTTACCATTGCCTACTTTTACTTGCTGGCTCAGGAATTCTGGGAGTCGAAGTCAATAAGTTGTAAAGGGACCATAGTTGCCCATCCTGACATATAGTTTAAAGCCCTGGGATTTCCTTATAGACGCCACATATTAACCTGGGCATTATAAACTGAAGAAAATAATACTGAAGATATTTTCAAAGGAGTTTGGAAATTCCTTGGAATCTATCTGCAAATAGAAGTCCAAGTTTCCCAAATGTTTCATAACTATTACAACAACAAAAAAACATCATGTGAAACCAATTGAACCATCTGCAGTAATGTGAAACTCAGTACAATTCTGGGGAGGTTTTCAGTTAAAAACCCATCCAGCTAAAATGTGTGGTATTTAACTATTTTCATAACAGAATGTGATTTCAATTTAACGGAGTGAAAAACATCTCTTAATACAGTTTTTTTAGTCCTGTAACACTAGTTCGCTTTGTTGGAATTAGACACAGCTGTAAATATTTGTGTGACCAAACTGGGTACTGTATTTTTCAAAGTTTGTTGTTTTCCATTTTGTTTAGCTTTGTTACAAAATGCTGAACAAAGAGCAAGTATCAAATTGTGGTGTGATTTTCAATATGAAAAACTCTGCTGGGGTTGCTAATAATGTAAGAGGGAAAGATCCTGCTACTTAAGATAGAATGAGTAGGGCAAACTATATAACTAGGCATGTATCCTGGAATTAGGGAGATGCGCATTTCTCAGCGTACTACAACTGAAATTGTATTATTACCCACAACAAAGCTCCACAGCACGATCTTTAGGCCTTCAAGCATTTTATACAAAAACAAGTTCTTCAGCTGTGTGAACTAACATTTAAACTGTTATTTTTAAACGGTGTTTAACAAGAACATAAAGGATTTTGTTATAATTAAGCTATTCCCCAGACGACCACTTTTATAGCATAATATTTAAAAGCTTGTGAATCTTCTGACTTGCAGAGATACTTTTCTTCTTTAAAACTGCATAAACGCAGATTGCCGCCAAACCCCAGCCTTTCCTCTGTTGAAGCCAAGAATAATTTTACGTCAAAGCTCTGGCTTGTATATTATAGAATACAATACTAAAGTTTCCTCCTCCCTCCTTATCCCAAAAGTAACTGGAAAGAAAAGAAAGGGAAAAAGATTATAGCCTTGACTTTCTGACAAAAAATATGTAGGACAAGCTGCTCTAGTTACGACATCTTATGTGTCAAGCTTGGGAAATCAGGAAATCCAGGCAGTTCAAGGCAGTTCAAATTAATGTAAAATTTATTGCAAGCTTAAACTCTCTACAAAAATCTGAACTATTAACTGTCAAAGCAAACTGGTGGTAGATAAGAGTCAAGGAATTTAAGCTGGGCTAGACTTAGATGTCTTGTGGGCACGAAGGGACTCAAGACTGATGACGTATTTGACTCCCTCCCTCAGGCTCAGCCTGGTCGCCTCCTACAACATGTTGAACAAAGGAAGGTCAAAGTAGAAAAAGAACCATTTCCTGGAACACAGGTAGTCCTCTACTTACAACCATTCATTTAGTAATGAATGTAACCATTCAAAGTTAACACAGCACTGAAAAAAGGAACTTATGACTTGTGGGAGATGAAAATATAGCCCCCTCCTCATATAACAAGATGAGGCTAGAGCAAACCTGAAATAGGCCCCCACAGAAGTGATTTGAAGTTCTAACTTGAACTTTATGCTGTTTCACAATATGAACATACTATTTGTAATCTGCTGAGCTTTGTGTAATATGAAATTGCAAAGTAGATAGTTCTATGTTTATTTGGAACATGAGTATTATAACCGTGGGAGAAATAGGGAACTGAAAAGTAGCTGATGGATGTGGGTTCCAATGAACACGGGTATATGTGGAAAGTAGGTCAGAAGGAAGTCAGTAAAAAGTCAGCAAAGGTCAGCGGACCATCTGAATAAGTCTTAGAACAAGAAAAGGATAAAAGATTGGGACTGGACCTGATTGATTTGCCATTGGCCTATAGCTGTCTTACTGGATTCTGCTATGTCATATGGTCCTCATTGCAATGGGTTATTAATGTAAGGGATATTGTGTTATTATGTTTGCTATGTTCCAAATTATTAGCAAAATAAACCTCTGAATCCTAGAGTAAGAATTATTGTTATTGTGTTGCTGTCTCTTGTCTTTTTCATTGGGTTTTTTCACGACAATTTTTGGTGCGTTGGCTGGGAAGAGACAGTTGCTGGAAGAGACCTGCTGTCCAACCGGGATTTCTGACTGCTTCCTGGTTTGGGGCCACAGGTAACCAGCCTGCTCTCTCCGAGCACTCACAATCTACTTTGGATCAGAGGTAAGAAAAAGGCCCCTTTCCTTGGGACCTTAGGGTAGATAGATAGGGAAATTGTTGTAATTTAGTTAGTTAGTTAAGCCTGCCCGCCTCATCTTGTTATATGAGGATGGGGCTACATTTTCATCTCCCACAGACTGTTTTCCACATGTGTGACTATTGAAGCATTCCCGTGGTCACATGATCAAACTTCAGAGCCTTGGCAATTGGCATGTATTTATAACAGTTGCAGTGTCCTGGGGGTTATGTGAACATCTATTGTGACCTTATGACAAGCAAAGTCAATGGAGAAGCCAGATTCATTAACAATTGTGCTATTAACTTAACACTGAAATGGCAGTGTTTCATTTAACAACTGTAGCAAGAAAGGTCATAAAACGGGGCAAAATTCATTTAACAACTGCCTTGGCTAGCAAAGGAAATTTGGGGCTCAATTGTGCTCATAACTTGAGGACTACCTCAACTTTAGTTCCAGGGAGAGCAGCAATTCCTAAAACAGTCCAAAATGGTTACAAACATCCAAGCAGAGGATAGATATTTCAATAATTCCACATCTCCAATTTATACCAGGCCTATATTTCAAATTTTCTCATGAGAAAGAGAATGAGTAGTAGATCAATTTGAGGTGCTCAATGCTCTCAGTGTATCTGTGGGGGAGGAGGTTCTGTATGCAAAATACTTCAAAATGATGAACTTTCTCCATAATCCCATCTCTCTCCCTCATATGACTGACCTTTTTACTAAGCATTTTCTAATTGTCAGCTGGAGTTGTGCGTCACCCAGACCTTAAGGAGGGGGGGGGGGAATCCTTACTGATACACAACCATTAACCATATAAATACCAAACAGAACTGAACTGAAGTCTGAGCTGAGGGAATAAACAC